GATGTCTTTAAACTGACTGAGCTTCAATGTCCCTTCTGTAAGATGGAGCTGCTGGTAGTAGCATCTTGGGGTGGGATGTATCAGCAGCAAGACCAACAAGTGTCACAGATAGTCAGATGACAGTCTAGAGAGGATAAGGACCCAGCTCTGGTGGCCCAGGGCAGAGCTCAGAAAGTAGGGCCAAAGCAGCAAGGGAAACAAAACTGACCAGCCTCTCTTTTAGCCAGAACCCCCACAAGCCCACCTTGTAACACCAGCCTCACTCTCCACCGAGCCCTAAAGAGAATGAGGAAGTGATTCTGGGATGGAAAGCACAGATGCTGTCCCTTGCCCAGCCTGTCCAAATTCCCTGGGCAAATCATGACCCAACAACATGCCCTCCTACTCCTGGGAGTGGGGGCAGTAGAAATAGAGATGCAGCCAAAGGGGGAAAGCAGGGAGGTCCCAGCACAGTCCCCTCCCTGCTGCCACTCAAACCAGCTCCTTCAAGGTGGCTCAGCACAGCTCACAGTGAGTGCAAGGGGCTCAGAGGGAAAGTGGGTACCATCCCAGATGCCACCAAAGATTTTTCAGGAACCCTGGTATAATTGTGTCTCAACTACTTGGCCACACTCCCATTGTGTGACTTTGATAAGCATTTGCCCTTTTTGGATTTTTTTTCTCCCTTGTTATTGTGACATTTGGCCTCAACTCCGGGGCCTTGTGTACACATGGCAAGTATCTGCACCCTGAACCACACCCCTAGCTCCCTCACCCCCATGCTTTTGTTTTGCTTTGACCATTATAACCAGACATTCACCTCCTGGCCTTTTGCATCCCGGGTCTCCTGGCTGCCTCTGGGACTGAAATGAACTGCCAGCTCCTTCCTGCTCCCCAGTGAGCAGCTGGACTGAAAGCCTAGGTAGAGTTCTGGTCCCCAGGCCTCCATAGCCCCTGTTTCCTACCTCACTGTTCTTGCTAGTTACCCCTGCATACAACGCCTTAGAACTCACCTTCAGACACTCTCATGTTCAGACGCCAGAAACGGCTTCCTTTTGCCTTCATGATCCAACCAGTTCCTACCTGGCTCTATAAATGTCAGCCACATTAGTGCCCGTGTCTGCTCTGCACCAGCTGTGACACACATGGACTGAGCATAGTCCTGCAACTTCACTCCTGCTCCCTAAAAGACATTATGAAGTCGACAGCATGAAGAGACAAATCAGTGCCTTCTTCATGTGGGAATGAGGTCATTGCAATCCCTGGACAAGGGTCTCCCCACAGAGGTTTCTGTGAGGGACTGAGAGCTGACTGGACATTAGAGCAGGTAGGTAACACCATGAATGAGTCCTTTACACTCCAAATCTTCCCCACTCTTGATGGCAACCAGAAGCCTCCAATTAGAGACAAAATGTCTCTAGCCTCCTTCTGATGAACACACAAGTTCTGACCTGCTGCGTTGCTGATCTGGGCCAGTTCCCCTTCCTAAAGCAACTTGGCAGTAGCCATATTGATGCAGTACTTGGTGGGGACATCAAACCAGCATAGCACACTACAGCCTAGGAATTCTGGACTCTGGACATCCTTCTGGAGTAGCTGGGGCTGCCTCTGTGCCTGGCAGGATTTAGTTTTCTAAATGCCCCCACTCTCCATTCTTCACTCTTTTATTACACACAAAAAGCAAGATACCTGAGCTGAGCATAGTGGTGGGCACATTCCTGTAACCCCATTCAGAAAGGCTCCACATGAGGCCTCAGCCATATAATGAGTGCTTGTCTCAAAAAAAAAATCTTATTTTAAAATTTTAACATATGCATATATCACAAAATTTGTTATTTTACTCATTTATAGGGATTGAGTTCTACAACGCGAAGTACACACACTGTTGTGCAACCATCACCACTGTCTATCACCAAGCCTTTTTGATTTCCCAAACGTAACACCCCATTCACTGGACCCAAAGGCCTGGTAACTACTCTTCTAATGTGTCTCTATTAATGCATCAACTCTAAGGATCTTATAGTCATGGTCACACAGTGTGTATCCTTCTCTGACCAGTTAATTCCACAATGCACACCATCAAGATTCAATCATGGCCAGGCAGTGGTGGTACACACCTTTAATCCCAGCGCTTGGCAGGCAGAGGCAGGTGGATCTCTGAGTTCGAGGCCAGCCTGGTCTACAGAGCTAGTACCAGGACAGCCAGTAGTAACGTTACACAGAAACCCTGTCTTGAAACACAAGTGTGTGTGTGTGTGTATGTGTGTGTGTGTGTTTAGATATAGATATATATATTCTAAAAAGTAATGCGACTCAAAAACTGTCAATGTGTTGACGGCAAAGATAACAGCAGGGGTATAGAAGGTACATACTAGTATAGGCCACAATCACCCTCCAGTATCTTGAGTCTGAAGACAAAACCCCATGCCCTGTCTCCTGGTGAGGGAAGCTAAAACCAGATTTTACCAGAGGGGCCTAGAGAAGTGACAGTGATCAGACTGAGAGATATGGGCTCTGAGACTTCCCAAAGTGAATTTAAGCCAACCAGTGGTTTTCCAACATTAACTGGTTTCGCCATTACATGTTGGTAATGACTCCCAGTACACAGGATAGCTGTGTGGCTAAGTAACTCATGGGAGCTGTCTAACCTATTGCTAGCATGTACTAGGTTTCTGAGTGAGTGGCTCCCTTCACACACCCTTTGCAAAACATATGTACACAACATACACACACACACACACACACACACACACACACACACACACACACACACACACACACAGGGGAGGGCTCAGTTGTGATGTAGTACAGCCTGAGGCTAGGCACACCATCAACCCGACCTCCATCACCCTCCTACCCTTTACCAACTCCAAACACTAGGGAAAGATGTCTTGATTCAGGGCTGTCACCCCTGGGACATCCTGTCTCACTGGAACAGCTCACTGCTGTGAGATCCCATCTGAGCCTAAAGCCAATCTGAACTTTCATTTCCCCAGCTCTAAAAGGAAGACATCTTTGTCCTGAGTTCTCAATGTGTGAATCCCACAAGTTGCCCCTGTACAGGAAGCAGAGGGCAGCCACTGGAGCACCTGCAGGCTGGTAATCTGCAGGTGCTAACCAAATCTCAAGGGTGCCCACCCAAACACATCTCCCACAGATCAGAGCAGCTACCCACACAGCGAAAGACAAGTGAAACTATAGAACTTGCAAAATCTGTGGGATTTCACGAAATTGGTGGAGGCCAGGCAGGAAAGGGAGCAGAAGACCACAGAGTGGGGAAGTGGCTGACTTCAAAAAGAAACGCCGAGCTCACTGAAGACTCAGAGTGGGGGCTGAAGAGACAGCGCAGAGTTTAAGAGCACTTGGTGCTATCTCAGAGGACCCCAGTTTCCTTCCCAGCATTCACATGGTAGATCACAACTATCCATAACTCCAGCTTCAGGGGATCTGACCCCCTCTCCTGACACACACATGGTGCTCTTAGAAGGGGAAAAGATTCAAAGTGACCCCTGTTTCCAAGGGAGCCCTTGTTTGTTCGGTTTTTTTGTTTGCTTTTGTAAGATAGGATTTCTCTACAATAGCCCTGGCTGTCTTGTAACTCACTCTGTAGGTAGTACAGGCTGGCCTCGAACTCAGAGACCCGCCTGCTTTTGCCTCCCAAATGCTGGTATAAAGACCCCAAGTGTTGGGATTGAAGGTGTGCACCACCACGGATCTGGCTAGCACTGATATTTTTTTGTTTAAAAAAAAAATTCTAGAGTAAATCATCTAGGAAGGATGCTACTGTTCAACTTCATATGAAAAAAAGTTTCAACTCTCAGTACTGTGTTCATTCTTCACAAACTACTAAGCACATGACCATAATTAGAATTGAAACATTCTTAATCAAAAGATATGATTTGTTTGCCTTCATCATCTTTATCTTTTCTAGAGACCAATCAACGCAGCCTAGCTACCCAGGCATTTTGTGACTTTTGGTCCTGTCTGTAAGACTGACCTCCCTCGCTGTAGGATGTGGTGTGGGGACAGCATTCTGATCTTCCTCTTCCCTTAAGAAGACTACAGACACCCTACCCCCAGGAGAAAGTTAGCCCCGAAAAGACTGTGCACAAGGGGTGCATGCCTCTGCCAAGCACCATCGCACACCAGAGGGTAAAAAACTCCACATTGTGGGTAGGTCCCCATCACTGAGATCGCTTTGGTTGGACAAATAAGGGAAATTGAGGCCCATTAAGGACATGGACTTTGGCCCAGGTCCAGTCGGTGACAAGGCTGGCACTGGGAAGAATGCAGTTAACCAGAGGACTTGGTGACGGACGCTCCACGTGGGCCCGTGGTACCCACTCCTGTTCGTGGTTGGCGGGAAAACTGAGGTCGAGAAACC